AGTCACCATTACGCGGGATGGAGCCCTGCTTCCCTGGAGATGGCTAAACCCCTGCCTGCCGATGGGAAGGGGTGAGTGAATTCCTTGTTTTGCTTTGCTTGCGTGCCCAGCTTTTGCTTTTCCTATTAAACTGTTTTTAACTCAACCCACGAGTTTTCTCACTTCTACTCTTCCAATTCTCTCCCCCATCCCACCGGGGGGGAGTGAGCGAGCGGCTGGGTGGGGCTGAGTTGCCAGCTGGGGTTAAACCACGACAAACCTGAATCAGAATAAAGACGCCTGGGCTCCCCCTCCTGCGCAGCGTGCTGTGCTGCGCTGCTCCCCTGCGGCCAGGCTGCAGCCGCAGTGGCCCCACAGTCCTCTCAGCATCGACGGAGATGGGAAGGCCGGCTCCTGCGCTTGTGCAGGGGCAAAGAGTAATCAAAATGTGCAACCAATGCCAGGTGCAGAGAGCTGCCAGACAGGGAGATGACTGTCACCACGCTACGCTGCAGCACACCTGTATCCTTTGCTCCCAGGAAGACAATGACACCCAACCTATAGTGCCCTGTCCCATCCCTTCCACCACCCTTGCCCAAAGGACCTCTGCAGCTAGCTTGAACGGCTAGACATGTCTGTTGATGATGCCTCACCTTGGACATGCCTTTTTCTCATGTGTCCACTTTTCGGGGCTCACTGCTAACCCATGTTAGCGCATCCAAGTGACAGTATGTGTTCAGTAATGCTACAGCCACACATCTGTGCTTGTCTCCTTCACCTCTCAGCCTTACTGACACAGCACAAAGGCTATCTTTTAGCAAAAAAGCAGCAAATACTCCCATGATCCCCAATGTGCTAAGGTCCAGCAAAAATTAACATGTTCATTTCTTCAGGCAGAAGGGCGAGCTGTCTGTTCGCATGGTGCCATGCGCATGGCTGCAAATTGCAGGTACCCCAGCCTCATCTGCAAGTCCAGGGCTTGCTGTCCCCCAAGCCCACACCACAAGAAAGTCACGCAGCCCACATCTACATCAAGTAAAATTAGCTTATTTGTTGTTCTTAATACACTAGGAAGGCTTCCACAAGATGTCAGCCTAACTAAATGACAACGCTAGCCTTAGGGTGCAATTCTACTTTTCCAGCTTGTGGGTTTAGCAGGAAAACCAGTTCTGCTGCTGCTCGAGGAGCAGGATAAGGGAGAAGCCCCCAAGAGGGTTATTTGGTCCTAGCAAGCTTATTCCTGAGGCAGACATGCCATTTTCCCTCTTTACGTTGCACGTGATGATTTGGGCTGTTACTTCAAAGCGCCTTTTCTGGCAGAAGTCCCCAGACTGCACTCGTATGTGGTTTTCCTCGGCACGCAAGCGAGCTTTCAGTCTCAGGAGAAATGCAATCGCGTGAGTTTGCAGGCAGCTGGGGTTTATTCCCAGCTCCCAAGGAACAACGTGAATATTACCGCAGAGTTCCAGACGTAAGAGAATCAGATGCACGCTTTCAGTAATATCTGTTATTTCACGACAAGTGCACATAAAAACATGTTTCGCTAAGAAAAGCGCCCATAAAGTTCGTGTTAACAGTTTCCCAAACAGGAAACTCGCTGGCAAGGTGCTAAATAGCCCTTGTTTGGTTACGTGCCAAAGAATGGAGAGCTTTAGAAAGGAAGCAACTTACCGTGTTTGAACATTAACTCTTTACTCTGTGCCAAATTACACAATCTTAACGTGGGAGGAACCTACCAACAGATACTGATGCAAAAAAGCAAAACGTTTCCAAAAGATACCTAAATTCAGCCTCCTGGTAATAGCGAAAAGAGATAGCACAGGAGAGGAGTAACATTTGACCTTATAGCCGTTGTCATTTTATTAATTACACGCTTTGGAATATTGTTTTTAAATGTTATTAAAATTCAAATCAACACTTCGAATCAGGGTTTTGCACCAGATGAGCTGCTATGGGAAGCGCAACCACAGGTACTTCAGGGCCGTAGTTCCATCAGACAGCTGGCAACTGACAGCTACAGCTGGATTTCAGGTTCTGTACTTTTCGTACAGTGAACATGAAATGTGAAGAAACTCTTTGAATAGGTTTATGTAATTCCTTTGCATGTATTTCTTTCACTCTAAAGCAAATGTGAAAATACTTACTATGCTAGAGCAATTTAAGAAATTTATCTAGCATTTCCTAATTAGCTTTATCATTAAAGATAGTTACTTTCCTGATGGGTTAGGGGTGGGTTTTTTTGTTTTGCTTTGGTTTTTGGGTGGGTTTGAGGTTTTCTTTTTGTTTGTTTTTAAAGAGTTCACCTTCTCCATCTCTTTACTTTCCACTTAGCACTTCCCTTCAGTCTGCTGTGGACAGGACAGCCCACCACAGAAAGGAAGTACCCCAGGCAGTATTACAATTATGCCATGGGACAGCGAAGGGAGAAGCAGGCAGAAAACCGCAAGTCTTAGTTTAAATAGGTACCTCTAAGGAACCAAAGCTTAATAACAAAGGTAAACGGCCATTGTACTTTAGAATCTTCTTTTGACACAATTCATCATCTTCCTCCATCAGCACGGGAAGTGTGTAATTCTCAGCTCATCCCATATCTTGAGGTTGGACGTAATACCACGCCACTACAGAGCAAACATTTTCAAATGCCTTCTACTACATTATTGCTTTATACCTCAAGGTAAAAATAAAAAAGCTTATCCAAGTTGCTTGGAGCAGGAAGCTCACACCCCCTTGCCTCATCCACATCGAGTCAAGGCTAGAGCAGCTGCTCCGAAGGCTTTCCTGCACATGCATGCAAAAATCCTAAAACCATAAAAAAATTTAAATCAAGTCTGTTCATTTACCTTTCAGTACCAGCTGTCCCAGAGGAGAGTTTTGCTCCAGATAAAAGGGCAATGAACTTTTAAAACAAGCAGTCATGACAGCACATTTGCCTCCTCCATGCTGTGCGTGCATGCTCCAGCCAGAGACCGGCTCGGCTGTAACAGCACAGACAGTTTTGCAGGGTCACCGTTTCTGCAAATACAAATTTCTGCAACTCCAGACCACACGGGATAACTGTTATGGACCTATCCCGCAGCGAGATGCTAATGGAAGTAATGTCCCCCCTTTCACGGGGGGCTTATGACACCAGAATGTAATCGGTGACTGCAAGGCAGCCCTCAAACTGCTCTGAGCCCCACCGGTAAATGCCAACCTCACGACTTCTCCTACACTCCAGTCCCCAGGAAAAAGCAAGCACAAAAGCCACCGTTTGGGGGGAAAAAATAGATTTTCTAGTTTCATAACTGCATGCTGTCAAGCTGGATTCCAATTAAATTTCTCCTGTGCCCTAATGCAAGCTTTGGTTTTTCCAGAAATTTCTCATAGCTTGAAACATTTGCTCCTGTCCTTTGCTCCTGGGCTGCGTGCTGTACTTTCTGACACACCACCTTCATCTAAATGACTGTTCTCTCCCTTTACCACTTTTGCAGGGACCACAGTCGCACACAGTTGTTACGCGTAGCTTTAAGCTGCCAAATCCCTCTCACCTCCGCAAAAAGCTGGTGCTAACCAGCATCCTCTGTTCAAACTGTGCATACTTTGCATCTAAAAGTTCCTTTTAAGCAGCGATATTTAACAGAAAACAGGCAGCAGCTAGCACCAAGGCACTTCCAACCGCAGCTCTGCGCTGCTTTTAACACCAGCTGAATACAGCCAGCACAGATGTAGGAGGGGGGGAGCGGGGTAGTGCAAGTCTTTCCTATTCTCTCTATCGTGGGGATGAAGGACTCCTACCGTTGATTTTTTCCCCCCTCTCTATCAGTGGTCTTTAACGCGATCACAGTATGCACCACAATGCTTTAAAACAGCAAAGCTTCTGGAAAACCCAAACAAAAGGAACGTCACCAGGTGACGTCAGCCTATATAGAGCCCTGTGTGGTCGCAGCGCATAAGCAAATCCATTCTTGTACCGCTTCCCTGAAAAGCTTTTCAGTAAATGCACTCATGCTACTACAGGAGCTTCTCTCAGCAATAAGCCACCCATCTGCCATCAACAAGTTAGGACTAAAGGAAGCCACAGCTGCGGAAAAAGAAAACGTGAGCTTCAATTAAACAGCTGAGCAGCCACTGAGGATGAAAACTTGTATTAAGCATTGATTTAAAAATTGCAGACCTGTCAGAGGAGATCAAGCCAGTGATTTCAAAAGGAATATTCCAAGAGAGCATCGTGGATTCAATTTTGCACTAATATCAAAGGACACTAAACCCAGTAAATTATTCAAAGGCTATCTTACATTAGAGCCTTTTACAGACTCACCACGTCGAGTCTAAAACTACGACTGAATGCAACCTCCAATGTACTCAAAAGAATGGGTAAGTTCCTGCGTTTCTATATGCCTTATATAATGAATGATCAGCTATGCTTTAAAGGAGCAGTTAGGTGCTAAAGCAAATTTTTCTGCACTGAACCTTATGAAAAAAAATGTTTTCCAATTGTGACACTGTAATCCTCCGTAATAGAGATAAAGACTCATCCTAAGTGTAATATCCAAGTATTCTGTGTTTCGTAGTAAGTTGTTTCTTGCATTTAGAATTAGCTTGTCGGAAATGCATGGCAATGTTATCTGCAGTGAAATCTTCCATCGTGATGTTCAAAGTATACTGATAAGGCTATCCTATCTTGTTGTTTTCCTAAATTATATTCTGCAGGCTTACATTTCAAGTGGCCATTAGGGGCTCGTATGCTGGCAGCACTATATGCAATGAGTATGGTTTTAAAAATGCTGCCTGCCTTGGGCATGGCTTGTCCACCAAAATGTCGCTGTGAGAAGCTGCTCTTTTACTGTGACTCTCAGGGGTTTCACTCAGTGCCAAACACCACTGAAAAGGGCTCGCTAGGTTTGTCACTGAGGCACAATTATATTTCTGAACTTGAAAGGGATCAATTTGCAAGCTTCAGTCAACTTACTTGGCTTCACTTAGATCATAATCAAATTGCAACAGTCAGAGAAGATTCTTTTCAAGGACTGTATAAACTTAAGGAATTAGTCTTAAGTTCCAACAAAATCTTTCATTTGCCAAACACAACTTTTAGCCAGCTGCTTAACCTGCAGAATTTGGACCTCTCTTTTAATCAGTTATCCTCTCTGCACCCCGAGCTCTTCTACGGCCTTCGCAAGCTACAGACCTTGCACTTGCGTTCCAACTCCCTGCGGACCATCCCAGTCCGCCTGTTCTGGGACTGTCGTAGCCTGGAGTTCCTGGATTTGAGCACAAACCGCTTGCGAAGTTTGGCTCGCAACGGATTTGCGGGATTAATCAAGCTGAGGGAGCTTCACCTAGAGCACAACCAGCTGACAAAGATTAATTTTGCTCACTTCCTCCGGCTGAGCAGCCTGCACACGCTCTTCTTGCAGTGGAACAAAATTAGCAACTTGACATGTGGGATGGAGTGGACCTGGGGCACCTTAGAAAAGCTCGATTTGACTGGAAACGAAATCAAAGCCATCGACCTAACCGTCTTTGAAACTATGCCTAACCTTAAAACTCTCCTAATGGATAACAACAAGCTCACCACGCTGGATTCCAAGATCCTAAGTTCGCTGACATCCCTCACCACCGTGGGCCTCTCCAGCAATCTGTGGGAATGCAGCCCAAAGATCTGCGCCTTGGCCACATGGTTGAGTGGCTTCCAAGGTCGGTGGGAGCACTCCATCCTCTGCCACAGCCCCGACCACACCCAGGGAGAGGATATTCTGGATGCAGTGTATGGTTTTCAGCTTTGCTGGAATTTATCGACTGTTGTTACACCCGTGGCTACGACGTACACAGTTCCAACTACCGAGTACACGAAAAGAATAAGCTCTTCTCATTTCCATATGGGAGACAAAGAGATTCCAACTACGGCAGGCATGGTCGTTACCACCGAAGAATATTTCCCCGAGCCAAACAATGCCATCTTCACTCAGAGGGTAATTACAGGAACAATGGCTTTATTGTTTTCTTTCTTTTTTATCATTTTTATAGTGTTCATCTCCAGGAAGTGCTGCCCTCCCACATTAAGAAGAATTAGGCAGTGCTCAATGATTCAAAACCACAGGCAGCTCCGATCCCAAACACGGCTGCATATGGCAAATATGTCAGACCAAGGACCCTATAATGAATATGAACCCACCCACGAAGGACCCTTCATCATCATTAATGGCTACGGACAGTGCAAGTGTCAGCAGCTGCCGTATAAAGAATGTGAAGTATAATACCTACATGCCATCAAAAATTAAATCAGATAAGTAACCTATTTTAAAATTGTAGGGGACCTACATCAGATTCTAATTTTTACAAATGTTGACATAAAGCCTAATTTTCCAAGCTACTTAATGGAAACATTGTTTATGGAGTGGTGCGGTATTTTTAAGTTTTTTAAAAAAATAAATCCATAATATTTTCAGTGTTAAAGAAGCAATGATTACATTAAACTTGCACTCTTAATGTTTAAAAGTCTAAAAAGATGCTCACCTCAAACTATGTAAAATGTTTCATGTTATGTAATTATATGACTGTGTGTAAACATTTATACCCAAGTCTCCATATTCTGCTTTTTCTAATGAAAACAGTCTGAGGGGAAGGATACTGGATATCTGTACAGAGATCTGCGGGGGGCCATTCGCTCCGTTTGTTCCACTGCAGCTGTAGGATCCCAAACACTTCAGCTGGCTCCGTTCACTTTAAAGGCAGCCGTGGAGGAAGATTTTTCCTCCTCTGATAATTTCACTCCAGTAAAAAAGGGGAGGGGAAACAGAAAAAGAGCAAGGAAGGTCCAGGTGGGGATTTAAGCGCATTGGGGACCAGTGAATTTAGTTTGAATGCAGATAGGAAAACTGTATTTATAGTTTAGCTTGCTTAAGCGGACCTTGCTGAAGCTAACAGATACAGAAAGGAGCAGTTCACGCGGTCACAAATTAGCAGGACGACTCTCCAGGCGCTTACAAAGTAGGCAGCGCAGCTTATTTAGGAAGGCTCAGTACGAGGGGATCGATTCTAAATATTAAGTGCATTCAATTCTTATCAGCTCTCTGGTTTGACTTGATGATGCTTTTCATGAATTCCGGCTAATTATTTACCACTACGAACAAACTGCATTTCAACACCTTTTCATGTGTAAATACCCTGAATGCAAGTTTTTCTCAATTCAAAGTAAATACCAAGCGCGAGGTTAAGGAGAAGAGGGAAGGAAGGAAGAAGCCTCTCTTTGTCCCCCCGCTGCCCCCCCCAGCTGAGGCTTCCTCTCCCCTGGAAGCTATTTTCATGCACTAACTCCACTGGTTTCTCTGGAGACAGAATTAGCCCCTGTAATATAAGCTCTCACTTGTCCTCTTCCAAAATTCAAGGTAATTACCAGCTCAAAAAAAAAAAAGTACCTTCTGATAAGTTAGGAAAATATAATTAGTTTATAGAATAGTTCACTGAAAAATGTTTCGTTACTTACTTGGTATGGGACAGAATCTAAACTAGTATGCCGTTTAAAAAAAATCATATATAAATATGTATACACACACGCACCTCATTCTTAAGGAGTAATTTGATTTCTTTAGCCAGAAGTACCATATTGCTATTTATACTATATTATGAAATTATATGTAAATATTTGCAGATCTATGCAGCAACAGTGGTACTCAGATGCCACGGGGGTGGGGGGCAGGGAGGGTCTGCAAAGGATTACATTATTTTTAAGTCAACTGCTCAAATATTGTAAACATTCTAACCAAAGCTAAAAGGACCAGAGGGATGGAAATTTTTTTTTATATATATACACATGTATGTATAACTAAAAAAATGTGTTGTGTCCAATGCTGCAGTGTTAAACAATTACCAGCACACGCCGATGAAGAAAAGAAATTCCTCACAGTGTTGACATACCTTGAACAAATCCGTAATTACAGTATGCTAATTGTGTTGTACTAAACTATTCTGCAAACTTTTTAAACAGAAAAATCACTGCATAAAAATCTGTTTGCTATTTCACTCTGCTTTTATATATCTGTATTACCACTTAGTGAGGTATTTAGGGTGCAATTATACAACAGTTTGATGTTTTATTGTGAAATGAATTCGTCCAAGACAATTATAGCAAGATAAGTGTGACTTCTGTTAAGATTTTACATAAAGATTTTTCAATTACTGGTTTTGAAGATATTAATTTGCATCATTTTACTTTTACATACAGTGCCCTTATTATAAAACAAATATTTTGTTTACTTCCTGTGACTCTGTACTTTAATGAAAGAGATTCAGTGAAGCCTAATGGTTTTCCATAGAGATACCTTTGAACCCTCGTAACTGTTTATACTACAATGAGCCGATTTACACCTATTCTAGGAAATCAATTACTGCTTTCAACTGAACACAATAAATCCTGCCGGGCAGGTGGACAAAGAGCAAATATTCTGTATGATTAAATCCCACATGAGCCAGAAGGCCAGACCTAAGCTGATAAATACAAAAATGTTTTGGTATCCAAGGGCATTTAGCTCCTTGTAGAAAGACTTGCTTCATTCCTTACCACGAGTAAGTGCTCACAGCTCTTCCCTCACGTCCAGGCTTTTGCTCTGCTCTGGACAGGCAAGCGTGCATCACTGTCTCAGCAGCAACCCGCCCCTGCCTGTGCACCTCCCTTACCTTGTGTTAACTAACACAATGGTCTGCACCCGGGGGAACTGGAAAGCAGACACTTTGGGGAATGATTTTCATGTACAGCTGTAGGGTACCAGCAGAGACAAAGTTATAACTGAACTCACTAATTATACTGGCAGCCAAATAATCTTGCTACACTATCATCAACCATCAGATGTCAATACTGAACTCTGGTGTCCTCAGCTGCATCTGCAAAAAGGAATTCCACCTTTCTCCTCCACACCCAGCAAAAACCGTTGCTGTAAGACAGTTCAAAAGGTACCATGTCAGTCTTCCACACAGTAATGAGAAGTAGCCGCTTGACTGAAGCGCTGAGGTTCCTCCCGAGGAGGTGCCTTCCCAGCACCCCAGCTCTGTGCAGAAGCCCACTCCATCTTACAATTATGCCCAAGAGCAAAGACAGATGTTCCAGCAATGCTGGATTTAATCCTCTTCTCCACCCCAGCCATTCATACCAACTTTCCAAGCATTAAAGCACTGTTCCAGTGTCTCTCAAAGCAAACACACCCAGGCACCCAACTTCTCTCCCCCACCAGTATCCCCAGTTTCCACTGGTCCTGCACTGCTGCCCTGGCTTGCAGACAGCGAAGCAGGAGGCCAGCAGACACAGCCTAGCATGGCACCGTTCAATTTTACTTTGGCTGCGTGTTAGTGTGTAGTACAGAGAGTCAATCTCCCAAATGCCGTGGTTTATGTCTGCCATTTCCAAAACCATTTGTTGCCAGGTTCCAGGCATAAGCAAAGCAATTCCGCAAACATTACGTTTAGGGTAACAGGTATCATAAAACTCGCAGAATGTCAAACACTAGCAGTGAAGTCAACTTGAATTCCCTTAGGAGGGACAGCAAACGGCAGGCAAAGCTATTGCTCTATACAAGGACATGACCAGAGGCTGCTCATTTTTGGGTTTTGTTAATTTATTTATTTTTTTAAAAAAGTTACTGTCTTCCATTCTCAATTGCTTGTGACTCTTCCAGGCAAGAAGGGTATTGTAATAATTGCATTAGTCGGCAATCTCTGATTTATTTTGTTTATGGAACAAGAACCATGATGATTTGGTTTAAATTCATTGTATTTCAGTATGAGCACTGGCTGATGACAAGAGGTCATTAACTTGCTCTCCCCAAATATCATCTCTGTCGCACAGCCTCAGTTTCTACAGATACTAAATGGCATTATAGGTGCTTCACCACCTCTAGGCACAGCCTCATGCAAGTGTTCAGGGTCTTTTAGAAATGAAAGTTTCTTCTACTGTTCTTGAGATCCTCGTTGCATCCAAAGAGCTCCTCCAGCCTCACTGATCTCCAGCTTTTCCTCCTCCCCACCCTCACATCAGTGAAATGCAAACTTTGTAGCGCAAGTTCAATTTTTGAGTCATCATACTGGAACAGGTCTGAATTACTGCTTTCAGTTCCCCTCTCATTAGTTGCCCTACATTAGATCATCGCTTAAATGCACACAACTAAAAATTACTCGATAAAGAGTAAAATGGGTTAGCGTTTAGTCTCTGGCTGAAGTGTTCCTCTGCACAGAGCTCCCATTTCCTATCAGATGGAAACATAATTAATGCCACTGTGCCAATGTTTGTTTTTGTTTGCTTCTCCCCCAAGCAGAAATTATCTGATTTTTCAGCAATAAGCCTAGCCTGCATGCAAATCTAAGCATCTGAGCTTATGTCCCATTACCTCCCTTAGAAGACAGTGGCCTACTGCTAAAGTGTAAAATAAGAAATATCCAGTGGCTTTAAGACAGAAATCTGCACTACACACTTATTTTTTAATGTGTCTAAGTTAATTTCTGTACTACTTTAATGAAAATAAAGTTGATTTAATTCTGTGATCTGCGTAGCTATCAAAATCCATATGTTCAGACCTATGAAATCCAGCCAGAAGCTGAAATTCATTTTTCTTGTGAAGTTTTCCATAAAAATTAAAAGTTCAGAGAGGGATACAGTATTTCTCCTCCCCCCAAAAAAGGAACAAGCAAGGAAACAACAAAAAAGCCAGTTGCACAGCAGCAGCTCCTCCCTCCCCACGCTTTTTTCCATTGCAAAGAGTCCTGTACACTGGAACTGATGCCAGGCTTTGCTTTTTAAGCCATCACGCTAGCAGGATGCTTAAAGATTATTTCAGAGTCATCTGGAAAGTCAGCATTTCACATCTTGCGTAAAAACCTTTTGAGAGGTATCTAGGGAAAGGTAACAGAAGCTTTGATGGATATCATTAAGTCTCAGACAGGACAAAACTTGTGCTATCTAAGGATAAAACACTATGCAGCTTGTGCACCTCTGGTGTAAGCAAAAGTTGCACCTGCTATCCTTCAACCACTCCTTTGTGAAAAAAACAAAAACCCACCCCATTTTTCTTTTTACCATCATGAAAACATTAGTGAGTGAACTATTCTACCAGATTAGCAACCAGAGATTAAAAAGAAGGAATCTTAGATGCATTGTATTTAAATTATGTTTAAAGAGCCACTTTCTGGTGGGAGGGGGTGTAAGTAATGGAGTAAAACAAAGTGCAGTGTACAGAAGATTTTTGTTATTAAAATTGTGTATACTGTAAAACTGAATTTGCCTCTTTCTTCCTCCCTTTTCAGACAGTTGTCAAAAGCTCATTCTTTCACAACACATAAAGACCAGTCTACATCCTCTGCAGTTTAAGAGCACATCAGCACTATCCAAAGCAGACAAGTCAGGTTTGGGCCAGTCCATTTGCCATAACCATATCAAATACAGCACTTTCTGTTTTACTACATTAACT